ATATTATCTTGTATACCTTATGATTAAAAATAATAGACTGAAGTATTAGAAAAATATTTGAAAAAAAGTAAGAATTAAAAGTCATAAAGGTTTATTAGATGCAGTAAAAATAGCGCGTCACAAATATTAGTATACTTTAAAAATAAAGAGATGATTGAAGACGTATATATATTGCCATCGACGTATGTTAAAAGACCACGTTATATGCAACAACGTTAGTAAGATGCTATGGCAGTAATGAGAAAATAGGGTAGACCAGATATTTATAAAAGTAACGTACAATTCTAAATAAAAAATATTAAAAGTGGTTCTGACCTTCACCTACGCCTTTTAGAAGAAGACTTTTCAATGTTTGGTGAGTATTAACCCGTTAATTATCTTTGATTATACTTAAGCAATATTAATGTTCTAATTTCCTNAGTATTAGAAAAATATTTGAAAAAAAGTAAGAATTAAAAGTCATAAAGGTTTATTAGATGCAGTAAAAATAGCGCGTCACAAATATTAGTATACTTTAAAAATAAAGAGATGATTGAAGACGTATATATATTGCCATCGACGTATGTTAAAAGACCACGTTATATGCAACAACGTTAGTAAGATGCTATGGCAGTAATGAGAAAATAGGGTAGACCAGATATTTATAAAAGTAACGTACAATTCTAAATAAAAAATATTAAAAATGGTTCTGACCTACTTTTCAAATAAAAACAGTGCCAAACAATATACCAAATATAACTGTTCGGATATTCCACATTAAATTACAAATAATTTTAGACAATATAACGCGTAACAACATTTTTGGTCATATAATAGCTTATTTTAACACAATTAAATAAATGTGAACTACTGCAACTACCGAAACATTCTCATAATAAAATAATCACTCATAAAAATATAAATAATGTAATATTTCCTTGGATTACTTCGAATAACAAAACTTACCGAATTATCCATTAAACATATGCTACATGTTCAATACATATTTAACAACGCAATTAATAAACTTTTTGAGAATTAAAAAAAATAAGCCGAGCATGACGTAGCACTACCTTAACGGTGGTATAGAAATT